TAAAATTTTCTCCGTGTAGTAAAAACAACGTTTCGACCTGTTATCAGGTCTTCTTCAAGTTCATAATAAATGAAATATTACATTACAAATTAAAACGCTTTCACGAAAGAATTAAACGAATTATTATAAAACATCGCTGATGTGTGTTGATTAAATCATAGTAACTGTTAATTTATCTACTGACACACAAGTTCAAGTTTTCTGCCTTTAATCGTTAAATCTCTGACTTTTCCAATGGAACTTGGCTCTCCTTTTTCAAACTATGATTTTAATTGTAATGTAATATTTCATTTATTATGAACTTGAAGATAACAGGTCGAAACGTTGTTTTTACTATTTGTCTTTAAATACACTAGCACGACCATCTAGCAACGGTTGTTTAACTTCTTATTTATTCCCTTGAATTTATTTCATTATTTCAGTCTTAATATATTTTAATTTAAATTTTATATAAAATATCTAAAATGTCGAATATGTTGATTCTCGCACAGTCTGAAGACTGAATTTGTTCATAATAGAAATTAAATTGTTAAATCGACAATATTGCGAGTAATAAACAGATAAGTATGAAAGTAATCAAACGCGCGGATTTAATAATTAATTTTAATTAAAACTCTCGATTTGTGAGGTGTTCGTGAGTGCCTCGCCGGAACACTGGTGTAGGATACCAGAACTCGAAAACTTGACGGATCTGATGTCACTGGAGCAGAGAAAAGCGCTCTCGCTGCCCTATTCGGTCAAGCCTGACGGTAGAAGAGTTTACTCAAAGTGTCAAATGTACGACGTGAATTACACGGCGATAATCGAATCGTGGCTCCAGCGCGCCGATTTACACAACGCGACCGACAGCCCATCGTCGTTTCATCCAAGTCGGCCGCTGCCAGTTAGCAGTCCCGACTGGCCAATAAGCAAATGTCGGTACGGATGGAATTATGACACCAGGGACTACGATAGCACTCTCGTGACCGAGGTAAACTCGACTTTCTCTCTTTCACCAAAAAAAAAAAAAAAAAAAAAAAAACTGCATGCCGTTTGCTCGCGATTGTTTCCTTCATAATGAGGCACTTGAGGCACTCACGTCTGGCTGGAGCGCTGATTGCGAGTGGGCAATGGTAGTTCTCGAATGCAAAGGTCCAAGTGCCAGTTTTATTTTCAGTGAAGAAAAGTGATTTTCCCTTTTTCCTTACAATATATAAATTGAACGTATATAAATTTCACTTGCAAAATTGAAGAGTATTATGAGTAAAGATTCATACAAGTAAAAATGTATGACAGGCACAGTACAATAGTGTAAATAATTTGGCACAAAAATATATAATCTATAGTACTCGATTCTTTTAGAAAGTATTTAAATTAATGCATTTGAAATATAACATAATCTGGACTTGGCGTTCTGCATGGCTACTCCGTAACTTCCTAATGATAACATCGCTATTGTTATGTCGTTATGTCACAAACAAATTTAAATTACTGTGAATAGGGTAATTTTGTCTTGACGAGTGATCAAAACAAGTAGTTTAATGTGCTCATGTCCGAGGTGTAACGTGTCATAAAAAAATAGAACTGCGACATTGTCATTAAAAAATTAGAATGGGCTACATTTGTTTAAACTGATCGTAAAGCTCAAATTATTGCATCCGCAATAATTACAAATTTTTTTCTACGCTCAGCAATAACTTGAAAATCTTATTATTATATCTATACTTGATTGATACGTGTATAATCAGACGCAAAAGGGACAAGGTTGATTCTCGCGCGAGCGGGGTAGCCCTAACATAATCATAGTGCAAAACATGCTTTGGCAATTTGCTTAATACGACGTCTTAATTGTCGTTGGCAAATTTCTTCATCGCACAGCATCGGATTTCACGACCACATCGCCTTGGCCTTTGGCTTGTCCCGACGGCTGTGCACCAGAGTTACATCGCGACGAGCTGCTGCGATTCCGTTCGCAGAACGAAGTTACGTGTCTTTGCAATGATCTCGTACGGACAAACTTGCTTTCCGTGAAGTATTTGCCGGTGATGACGAGAATGATTGGCGCGAACGAATTAAACGGCGGAGCGCGGATTACGCGCGATTAGATCCGATTAAGCGCGACATCGCGCAACAAAATAGCAAAATGTTGAATCAAAATGGCATATAGTTTCCGCGTCTTTTATACTTTGCGATGCGATTTCTATTGCCGTTGTAAAGTATTCAAATTGTCCTCGTGGCAATAAAAATATATGGAAGGCCGTAAAAGAAAATGTTAGTAAGTTTGCAGTATCAGAAGTTACTGATGAACGTAATTAACTTTAAGTAGAAGAAGAAGTGATCAAAAGTAAATTATTAATTTTAATCATTAAAATTATTAAAGCAGAACATGTTACAAATTAATATGCAAATAAGCGAAATAATTTTTTTCAATATAATCCAAGGTTAAGAGGAAAATTAACTACATCTTCAACTACGATGATGTATTCTAAATGATTTATCACATCCTCTGTCTGTAAAGAGGGCCAGTCACCTCGCTTTCATGAAATCTTCGTCATCGTTCATAAATGTTTCCGGTATGGAAATTATGAGATTCTACTGCAACATGAAATAATTTAAAAGTAATAAAAAGAAATGTAAAATATGCGTTTTTTAATCTTTCGCTGAATTAAAAAAATTTATACACACACAATTTGAATATTTTACAACGGCAATAGAAATCGCATCGCAAAGTATAAAAGACGCGGAAACTTTATGCTATTTTGATTCAACATTTTGCTATTTTGTTGCGCGATGTCGCGCTTTAATACACACAAAAACACTATTATATTATATCTATCTATATATAGATAAAAATATAAATAAAGCGTAGTTGATTGTATTCTAATCTTACGATCTGCGCTATTCTCTACGATTTTGCAGTCGCCTTTGTTTTGAAAAAGGCTATACTAGTCTATGTTAACTAATGTCAACTCCGCTTATCACGTTTCCGAAAGAAAATTTGCTCCATATTTGAATACTGAAGAAAATAACTGGGTCGTCGGTAAACCTCGCAGTCACGTGGCGGCAGTCGTAAGTGTCCATTAAGACATTATTAAATTGCCGCAATTAGACAACGCGGTGAGCTATTGGCGTAACACTTGCAACGCTTGGGGTTGAGAATCTAGGCGTGCTTTTTTTTCTCTTCTGTTTAATTTTACCAAACGGATTATTATTTTGTAGCGCGTCATATAAGGTAAATTATTCGATATATAATAATTAGATATGTCATATCGCAACTGGTAAAATCGCTACAGATAAAAGTTGTCGTTATCGTAATTATCATTCTACTGATCACAGTTGGTTAAAAATTGTTAATAATTTTCAAACTTTTAAAATCAATTTCCACAAATAACCCTGTCGTCGCTTGCACGGTGTTTTTCGCATTTTGTATAGAATCTTGCAGATTTGAAATCTAATAGTACAAACAAAATGATGTCACAATCTGATGACAGTACAAACAAAAAATGTGAGAAACGACGTTTTTGACGAAAATATGTTTGCATTAATGAGCATGGGTATTAATACAATTCTAAGTACTTTTTTATGACATTACATCTGATAAATCAGAATTACCATAAATCATAATTATTCCCTGCTCTTTTTACAATACTCAATAAACAAGGAATTAAATTTATCAGTGCTTTACACGATATCACATTTATGCTCATTGCATATTTGCTCGTCCTGTCTGCCCTCTGATGTTTGCACGCTTCGTGAAACCGTTGCGTTTCCATTCTTGCAATTAGTCATCCACAAAGTTTATTTAAATTTACATAAAATACGCGACAATAACTAAATTTAGTTTCCTTTGCAGAGGGATTGAATTTAACGCGATAAACGTGGCAAATAAATTTCGTTTGTTTGTACGCGCGTCAAATGTTGACATATTACATTATCAAATTAGGAAATTAAAATATTACTGAAATCAAAATATCGTTTTTTAGATTCGATTAAAATGATTGCGTTAACAAATTACTATAACTTCGTAATTGCAAATAGTGAGAAACTTGAGAGATTTGTGAACGAATCAATTGTAAATCGATTACATTAGCATTCATCATGCGTTCTTCGAAATTACGAGGAATGACGTTATGCGCTGACGCGCGTTTTGCATTAACGCCACGGGTTTCTAAGATTTCGTTGAAGGGTCGATTCGCGTGAATTCATCAAGGAGAAACCGTCAACAGGTGAACAAGGTTGATCAGCGACCGAGTGACTGGCCGATAGGTTGCAGCTCTGGTGGCGTCAGCAATTGCCGACCAATTTACCTACCCCCGCATCCGGTCATGTGATATGTCACATCAACGCCTCGCACAAACTACCAGCTCTCTTTTCATGCAGAGGATATATGTTCCTACGTATTTAGCCGTTACCGGATTTAACGTGATAAACTTCCGTTTCTCTCCCTCTCCTCCCCCTCTACCTCTCGTTCATTTTTTTCTTTTGCATCTCGTTGTTTGCAAATTCTTCGCTTTCATATTTTCTGTGTGTCTTTATTATGCTATTTTTATCGCACGAGTAACACGTCTATCAAACGCAATTTGCATTTTCGAAGATAATTGTCGTACATCGACACGTAATGTGTCGCATGTCGTGTATAAAGCGTCATGTGCTACAATTTTTTCCAACTGTCGAATATTTGCAGCTAATTTTAATTATTGCTGCACATGATACGTTTTGTTAAGAAACAAAAACTCTTTTTTTATATGTACTTATCTAGCCTAGAGGGTATTGTCGCGGATATATCTGTCAACGAGCGAGAGATGCTAGCCGGCTAGCCGCAAATAATCGTGTGGGTAGTTTGTATACCTTGCTTCTGATCCGATAATTTATTGTACTTGATTTAGGAACTCTAATGATACCACACCGTACGAGACCGGGTCATTGTCTTTTCCGTGCACAACGTGTAACAAGTAGCTTCGCCGAAGACGAATACACCACATATTCTATCACTTCCTGTCCGGATCTAATTATAACCAAGCCAAAATAATTTACATTTACTTTCTGTTATTTACATGCATAATTTTATATATTTTTAACATATTCATAATTGTAGTTGAACTAATTAACTTTCAAGAATTATACTTGTCTATATATTACATTTTTAGCATCAGTAATTCAATTTAGAATGGACAATTTAAACTGGAGTAATGACAAAAAAAAATATCTACAAATTTACCTAATTAAATAGTATTTTTCACATCAATTTTTAATGAAAGAATTTCAAATCGTACTGTGAAAAATAAAATACGATGTATTATATAAATGGTTAAAGGAATAAATAAATAAAGCAAACAGGTGCATACGGTAAAAAGCGATGAAGAACGAAGAACGGGAAGGACAGGATTTGCTTCGGTGACTCTTTGCGTCATATGTCTGCGTCCGGAACGTACAAATCCGGAATGTACAAATACGTAGCTTGTATACTCGGCGCCGCGCATAGAAGTCGTTGCAGTCCTAGATGAATATAGTGAATAGAAGTTGAATTAAAATGGGGGTAAAGTCAGACGTGGGAAATTTTTCCAGAAATATTGCTTCACAAATATAATTATCACAACTCATTGGATTCGGTTCCGAACTTATGTAACGAACCGCGCAAACAATCGCGGTAATGAACGATACCGCGGTCATATCAATATTGATTTCAAAGTGTGTCAGGGTGACAAAATACACACGCGTTATTAGTGTTCTTATAGGCGCATGCACTGTCCTTGACAATAACTCGATAGTATTATCAACGGGTGCTCTCCTATCTTTCCGCGCAATTTATCTTTTGCGCGTTTCGCGCAGACCTCAAAAGTCCGTGAGTGGCAATTTGCTTAAATCAAACTTCGTGTCAAAGCTATTAACACCCACCGGAAGACTTTATTTGTCCACGCTAATAGGCACTCGATTGAGATTTCGTTTGTTCGAATATGCTCATCGACTCGGAGTAGCACTCGCTGAAGCTACTTCTGTTAATTGTTATTCATCGAAGATCCGGGTACAGATGCAATCGCGTCCTCGTTAACTCTTAGTAAGAACAATTTTTTTAAATACGAAAGCAAGATTTCCTCGGTTAGTCAAGTTTCATTATTTTGCGATATTGTGCAAGTACGGATACTGACTTATTTGCTGAATCTAATATATAATATTATATGTATGTACATATTGTAGTATTGAAAGTACTTGAGATACTTTGAAAAAATCGACCATAATTTTTTTTATTGCTTCATATAACATAAAAAAAGAAGACAAAAGTTCAAATTTTTATATTATTTTTGCTTGGATCTAAAATATTGAGCGTTAAAACCAATAAAAGAAAAAAAATTAATGCATGCGATAAAGCTGATTGTGAGCTTTTAAGTGATATTTTGCTGAAAGCTATATGATATTTAATTACGAGTGTTTCAAGTAAGATTTCATCTCAAGTTCCTTGAATTTCTAATTATCGCATTGGGTTCACAAGTTAGAATTTTGAAATTTTGTGACTGCAAATTCAAATTCTGTCCTAAACAATGTCCTAAACAAATTCCAAATATATAATCCTTACTGGTTTTTTTTATAAGAATTATAAAATATATTATTTGGTCATAAAGCATTTTTACTTCTTCAAATTACAGTTAAAAGGTTAAAATGTTGCATTAAAACACAAGCATTTGTCATCAGCCGCATTAACATGTTTGTGCGATATTGACGAGTCGAGTTCGCCGCACGAGATCATCCGCAGAACATGATGATGAAGAACGAGAGAGATAGAGAGACGGAGGTTTTAAAGGGCGCAGAGGGGAACCGTGTTGTTCCTCCTGTCAAACGAGGATGATGGACATCTCTCACTGTGGGAAACTTACCAATACACCTTGACGTCCTTCGAATGCACGAATACACGCGGCGACACACGATCCGCGCACGCACACGCGCGTTCATAGAGCTTGCAATTTACATACAAAGTTCGCACACGAATACGCACGTGCCCCCACTCGTTGTAAACACGAGTGCGTTTACGTCGGTAATCCCCTGCGTAAACGCAACTATATGAAACGTTCCCCACTATCGCGCCGCTGGTCCAGCAGCATCCCTCCACTTCTCAGTTTCGTTCTATTACTCCATTCTTTAACACGTGCGCGTCCGCGTGCGTATGTCGCGCTGATGCTGGGACTGACGAACAAATGACGATCAACGCTGACGCGTGTGTTCACACGTGTGCGAGTACGCACTTCGATTCATCGTCAACGTCGACGCACAATACTGCACGTATGCCATTGTAACGGGGTGCTTTTTCACTTTCATTTGTTTTTCAATGTCGACGAATTCCTGCGAGAAAATTTCATTAGGCACCATTCTACGCAATTTTAATATTGTGAATACTTTCAGAACTTCATTCTAAAAACTGCTTGATAAAGTCTGAAACACGAGATAATGTTGTTTGCTTGCAAATCTAAAATCAACTTGAAAAATTAATCGAGTTGTTCAGAAAATTTACCAATTTTTGTGTTTATTCAATTCTATTGATTTTATTTAATTTAATTCTACTCAATTCAATTTTGCTGCATTTAATATTTATTATTTTATTACCCTTTGTCTCTTTTAAGAAAGAAAGAATAAAGAAGCTGTATTAATTATTAATTAGTATTAATTCTATTGATTTATATCTTTCGGTCAAATTTGACTTCTTTTTGTCGATATGTACGTTTGTGTTAACAAAGTAGTTTAATGGCGTTTTACATCCACATAGTTAGACTTGGTATGTGACAACAGCTGGTGGCCTTCCACATCGACGACATTCTTTTACGTGGGCAGCCTCTTCGGCAACGTAGTATTCGGATGGATCGCCGACAAGTGGGGTAGAAGGACGGCTTTCTTCGCTATTTTGTTTCTTGAGGTGATATTCTCCATTGCTACGAGTTTCAGTCCAAATTACGTGATCTACACGGCGCTGAGGACTGTGAATGGTCTCTTTTTTCCTGCCATTTATCAGATACCTTTCATACTTGGTATGTTGAGCGCGCATAAACCATAGACTTTTCAATCCAAATTTTAAACATAAATATACACTACTCCACGAAAAATAGGGAATACTTTTCAGACGTTCAAAATCAAGCAATTTTAAAGCCGGTAAAATTTGGCAAAAAATCGCACACAAAAAATTTATAAAGCATTTGAAACCTTGAGGTTTGTACTTTCATGTATTTTAAACCGTTTTTCGACCATTTTTTTATCTTTACACTCCCAAACCCAAGAAAAGAACATATTGTTTTGTTCTTAAAATTACATGTGTTTAACACTCTGCAGTTTGATCACAAAATTTGTGTAACAAAATTTATGACAAGTGTCAAAACGACCAACATTTTACTCACAAAAAACGCATTTTTTTTAATTTGCTACAATTTTTTTTGGTCGAATTACACGGCTAAACTTAAATTTTTTACACTAATATTACTGCCAATGGTAAACGTTATTTTTTACAAAATGTAAGATTAGTTTTAAGTAAGTAAAATCTTGTAGTCTTTGACACTTGTCATAAATTTTGCGGAAAAATTTTTTTATTGAGCTACAGAGTGTTGAATGTACGTAATTTTGAGAATAAAACAATGTGTTCTTTTTTCAGCCTTAGAAGTGTGAGGATAACAAATTTTTTAAAACAGCCGAAAGCACGTAAAAGTACAAGTTTCGAGCTTTAAAATGCTTTTTTAATTTTTCGTCTACGATGATTTTTCGTCGAGTTAGAGCGGTTTGAAAATTCGTCAATTTTAAGCATCTGAACATCTCGACGCGGCAGAGCAGTGCGGCCGAGAACGGCTGAGATACGCACGATGCCGTATCAATGGCGCGCACTCAGCCGTTCTCGGCCGCACTGCTCTGCCGCGTCGAAATGTTCAGATGCTTAAAATTGACGAATTTTCAAATCGCTCTAAGTCGACGAAAAATCATCGTAAACGAAAAATTAAAAAAGCATTTTAAAGCTTGAAACTTGTACTTTTACGTGCTTTTAGTTGTTTTTCAAAATTTGTTATCCTCACACTTCTAAGTCTGAAAAAAGAACACATTGTTTTATTCTCAAAATAAAAATTTTTCTCGAAAAGTTGGTGACAAATGCTAAAAACTATAACATTTTATTTTAAAAAAATACGTTTTTTTTAATTTTGTTACGATTTTTTTCGCCGAGTTACACATCTTTGAAGCTAAATCTGCATTTTTTACGCTAATGTTAATTTAGAGTTGTACAACTTGTACAACTAAAAAAATCGTAGCAAAATTTAAAGGAGAGTCACCCAAAAAATGTTTAGGAAATAAATTCAAAAGATGAAGAATGTGCAAAATAACTCAGTAAATTTTATTGCAGCTCTTGAGCTAATGGGACCGAGATATCGAACGTTCGCTGGGATGGTAATTTGCATGTTCTTCGCCACAGCGATGTCTCTTTTGGCGTTGCTAGTAAGTATCTTTATTCATAAAATATGAAACAGCAAAGTAATGTATATCGACGCATTTCGAGAAAAATCTCAATGTTGCACAAACACCGAAGCTTGCATTATCGTACGACAGCTCGGAACGCACACACAATAAATTCAATGCGAGGGTGCAACGCGGATCATTTTGCAAGCGATTCATCAGCGTATATCATATAGTGCGCTCGTATGCAAATGCTAGTGGTCGATTACATTCACCGCATGCAAATAGAAACATGCATTCAGACGCCTTTAAAATGACATGCGCGCAATGTTGTCAAACGCGCATAAAAACATATATAAGTTCTAAACAAAATTTTTACACACACATATGCGCGGATGCATGCACAAATTTTCAAAATTATTAGGTTTTTTTTTCTATTTGCTTTTACTCTCTTGTTTCGTTAGGGCTACTTGTTAAGGCACTGGTACACCTTGTCGTTAGCCACATCGGTGCCTTTCATTCTTCTCTTCAGTTACTACTGGATCATCCCCGAGTCACCGCGATGGCTTCTCAGTAAAAACAGGATAGATGAAGCGGAAGTGATCGTTCAACATATGGCAAAAGTCAATGGCAAGACAGTGCCCACAAATTTTCTTAGAAAGATGGAGGTAATTTTGTTCAATATTTAACTATTATTTATATAAATAATTTTTCAATATAAATAATTTAATATAGTTTTTTAATATAACTAAAGATTATATGAAATTATAGCAACAAATTATTTGTAGATAGAAATATTAAAAAGACAAGGAATATCGTGTAACGGTAAGAATTCCAATGGCGGCAATATCGACGTGGAGGACAGATCACCGCCACCATCTGCAACGCCTATGGACCTAATCACGAATCCTAACATCAGGAAAAAGTTTTTTATTCTTGCTTTTGATTGGGTGGCGAACGCGGTGGTATACAACGGATTGTCCTATAACACGACTAATCTGGGTGTTTCCGATTATCTGGCCTTCTTTATTGGTAAAAGTTCCATTCCTTTCGCTTTGAAATTATTTGAATCTTGAACGCGTTGTGCTTTACATTTCTCACTGTGCACCGAGAAATACATTGTATTAAAAGTAAAATAAAACATTTTTACGTAAAAAAAAGGAGCCAACAATGTTTAAAAGAAGTAAAAAGTTTTTTTATACTTTTTGTATAGGAGGTATTGTGGAGATTCCGTCATACTTTCTTACATGGTACGCGATGGACAGGTTGGGCAGGCGATGGGTATTGTGCGTGACCATGATGTTGGGTGGACTGGCTTGCGTGTCCTGTATGTTCGTGCCTGAAGGTACTGTTTCATCAAAATTTACATCTTACTTTCAATCAAATTTTTTTGACAAACAAAAGTAACTTTATTTGTTGAATGCTTTTGTTGGCAAATTATTCTCCCTCTACATATTTGTATCGAATTTCCTTATTTCGTCTCATTTTACACATATTCTTAATACCGATAAGTAAAACTGTGCAATAATGGTCATTTATGTCGCGTTGCTCATCTGCGTATTATTTGATTATCTTGGCAGAATTGAATAAAGTATTAAGAATTGCGCACGCTTTTACGTCACAGCGACCTCAACGTCATTAGCTTATTGAATTCGTCATGATATTGTCATGCGTTCAATATGAGAGGGAATTGCGCCGACGTCACGACGTTTATGAGTAAACGTTCGACCTGCTTATAAATTAGTTACTATCACGCCGCGTAACTTCTCTCATTAAAAACAAATTTATCGTGAAATTCAAGTTTTAGATTATTGCATCAAAACATAAATATTAAATAAAACAAATTAAGAAAGAGAATCTTGAAATACTTTACTTTGATCCGTAAGATAATTACAAGTTGAAATTTCATTTCACACAAACACCGTGTATACACGATCAACCTTTGTCGCAGCAGATGCGGTCTGGGTGACTGTTAGTCTGGCGATGATCGGCAAGTTCGGCATTGCTGCGTCCTTCGCCGTTTTCTATGTTTTCGTCGGCGAGCTATTACCCACCGTGTTGAGGTCTCAAGCAATGGGTATAGCATCCTTTATCGCTGGCATCGGTCTCCTCACTTTTCCCTACATCGTTCACCTGGCGGTCTATTCGAGAGTCTTACCTCTAATCGTGATGGGATCACTGAGCGTCGCCGGTGCCCTCACTTCCGTATTTCTGCCTGAAACACTCAACATCCACTTGCCACAGACTATCGAGGAGGGTGAGCTTTTCGGGGCTGATTTCAAGTTGTGGTCCTGCCCTACTGTACCAAAGTTAGTAATGTGTTAATAATCAAAAATTTAGTTTACCTAAATTTAGCAATAAGTTTTTAACGAAAAATTTAACAATATAAGAAATATAAAAACTCAAAGATTTGGAATTGCTAACACGTGACCAATGCTTTTACAACACTTTAGTCTGTTTTTTAATAATTAAAATATTTGATGGAAAATTTGTTCTGCCCGTATTACGATTTTTTTATTCTGAGGTAAAAACAACATTGTTGGAAAATATAAAAATATTTTTTGTTACATAACTCAATATATACGCGTATATTAACTCCGTTGTCAAATTGAAATTGATAAATTCCATTCTTTTAATTATTGACCAACGTAAATAATTTATTTTCTAACAAACTTAATCAAATTAAAATGTTAGCAGGAAAGATTCAAAAAAGTCTGAGCCCGTTCCACTAAGGTTCCTGGTAAACGGCGGACCAGGTAGTCACTCGTCCACCTCAAAAGTCGTGTCACCGGAAGTTGCGACTACTCCGGAGGGCGAAAAGCCAGCTACCATGCTGCTATCAAAGGAGGAAGAGGCGAAGAACTTAAATGCCAAGGAGGAGGAGCTGACGAATATCGTGACGATTATTGAGCCAAAGACGTCTAGCGTAGTGGCAGAAATCAACGTGTGCCGGAAGTCGCAATGAGATAAGAGAAAGAGAGACAGTCTTATAATTGATTCTTCACGATGTTGTATTATAATTTCCAGTATAGGCACGCATTGTATTTATTTTTCCATTTATTATAATATACTTTCTTTGTACAACTTGCCCCTGAATTTACCGATGAGCACAGTTCGAATCTTGTTTCCTTCTGTGCTACAAGAGAGTGTTGTCAATTGTTGTCGCGGTGTGTGCATGTGCGTGTACATTGCATGATTGATACTCCTGTCGACTGAGGAGTAACGCCCGAGCTCTGTGAGAACTTTAAAGTGTAATTCAATACTTTTTTATGTTTTCGATTAGCTCCCTGATTTTGCATTTTGTCTTTGCGATATTAAAAAAAAAAACTTAGTGATTTCAAATAATTTAAATAAAATATCTTACTATTCATTGACGGATCGTAATTGTGTGTGTGTGTAAAACTTGATTGATCGTATACGATCGATAATTAAAACCCAAACTCACTGAAATGATACAAAATCGATACCCTCGTGAAATGATAAATAGAAAAAACTATGCAGGCGATCAAACAGTCGCCAAGGAGAACTCAGCAGTCGTTTGTTTCTGTTTAACGACATCTCAGACAAGTTCGCGATATCTTCATCTCTCACATTTGAACTTCCCGAAGAACGACTCCTTCCACAGTCATTAAAGTGCTTGTTAGACTACGTGCAACTATTTTTATCTTAAAATTTCAAGTGCTATTCGATCCAAAATGCGTGAGATTGTTCATATTCAAGCCGGTCAATGCGGCAATCAAATTGGCGCCAAGGTTAGTAATAAAATAGACGAAAATATGTAACAATGTTAATTACGATAGTAAAAAATTAATTAACTGATTTAGTGGATAAAATAATATTATTTGTATATTTAAATATATTATAAATGATATTATTTTTTTTTATATATATATCTTTGAGAAGCTTGTATTAAAAATATTTGACAATTATGTATACTTAAAATCCAACTCTCTATATAAAAATAATTTTTTAAATTTACTGTTTTCTATATTTAAAAGAAAACAAATTGCTTACATTTCTTTGTGACAAATATGTATAATTGAGAATTAAGTAATTATTGTTTATCATATAAACATTTCCATTTCTTGAAAATTAATTTGAAGTCTCGTGTAATGAGTCATTCTTAATCTATAGTTTTTGGGAAGTAATTTCGGATGAACATGGCATTGACCCTACGGGCGCTTATCACGGAGATTCGGATCTCCAGCTGGAGCGAATTGATGTCTATTACAACGAAGTCTCCGGACTGAAATATGTGCCGCGTGCAATCCTGGTGGATCTCGAACCTGGTACAATGGATTCCGTACGGTCGGGGCCCTTCGGACAGCTGTTCCGACCGGACAACTTTGTGTTCGGACAGTCGGGGGCTGGCAACAATTGGGCCAAAGGTCACTATACGGAAGGTGGCGAATTGGTCGATTCGGTGCTGGACGTAGTGAGGAAGGAGGCGGAAAGTTGCGATTGTCTACAGGGTTTCCAGTTAACTCATTCGCTGGGGGGCGGTACTGGATCCGGAATGGGTACTTTGCTGCTCACAAAAATCCGAGAGGAATATCCGGACAGAATCATGAGCACCTTCTCGGTGGTACCGTCTCCCAAGGTCTCCGATACTGTTGTGGAACCTTACAATGCCACCCTGTCGGTTCATGAACTAGTGGAAAACACCGATCAAACTTACTGCATCGACAATGAAGCACTCTATGACATTTGCTTCCGCACTTTGAAACTGACCACTCCTACGTACGGTGATCTGAATCATCTTGTTTCCGCCACCATGTCCGGCGTGACAACCTGTTTAAGGTTTATAATATAAAAAGTTGTTAGATTATTTGAAAAATAATATAATAATAAATATTAATAAATACTAAGTTAATTTTAAGGGATCGCTGATTTTTTCAAATCAATGAAGATTTTGCTCTAAGAAACAATGTATCGAGTTGTTAGAACAGTTTTCTGTTTTTTTTTTCTAGAAAATTTTTTCAACAACTCAATAAATTAATGTATTATTTGTTTCAAACTATGATACTGATTTCGAGACGTTATAATGTCTTACAGTCCTCTAAAGATTAATCAACTAATAGCTAAATAAATGAATCAATAAAATATGAATTACATCATACAAGACATTTGTTTTAAATAATCACAGGTTTCCCGGTCAACTAAATGCCGATCTAAGAAAGCTCGCAGTGAACATGGTGCCGTTTCCCCGACTGCACTTTTTTATGCCAGGTTTTGCGCCCCTCACATCTCGAGGAAGTCAACAATACCGAGCTCTCACTGTTCCAGAGCTCACGCAACAAATGTTCGATGCGAAGAACATGATGGCAGCCTGCGATCCGCGCCACGGTCGTTATCTCACCGTGGCAGCAATCTTTCGCGGCAGGATGTCGATGAAGGAGGTGGATGAGCAAATGCTTAATATTCAGAACAAAAACAGTTCGTACTTTGTAGAGTGGATACCAAACAACGTAAAGACAGCGGTATGCGACATTCCGCCCCGTGGTCTAAAGATGTCCGCCACCTTCATCGGTAATTCCACGGCTATTCAAGAGCTGTTCAAGAGGATTGCCGAACAGTTCACCGCTATGTTTAGAAGGAAGGCCTTTTTACATTGGTACACTGGAGAGGGTATGGATGAGTTGGAGTTTAATGAGGCGGAATCCAATATGAATGATCTAGTATCGGAGTATCAACAGTATCAGGAAGCGACTGCGGAGGATGACGAAGAAGTAGATGAGGAAGAAATACGAAAATAAAAAAAAGAGAAATCTAGCATAGAAAATTACGTATACTCGAGCAATTTTTTTAGTCTTTTTTGCAATTTTTGGGGTTTTTCCCAATTTTTTTGTTATTGTTTTTTTTTTTATTAATTTTTTACAATATTTTACACGGAGTCATTTATATACATATATTTTATTGTATATTTTTAAAAGAAATATTGATTATTTGTACTGTATTTGTGAAGTTTATAATAAATAATATATCGACAATTTAATTGTTTTTACGATTTAATGTTTGTAATTGTTAAATTAATGGAGTTCTCTCGAAATGCACTCCCTCGAATGTCTCGAAATGCATGTCTCTCGATCTTTACGAATACGCATACAAGTAATGCTCTTTGTTAAGTTGACAATATTATTTATATCAGTTAATGACATCGTTCGTAACGTGATATAAATACATATGCCTCTTAACTAGACGAGTAATCGCTGGCGTTTAGACGCGATTCTCGTTATCGAACTCGTTATCGTCCTTCTGGCCTACTGGCATTGATGAAGCCAAGGCCACGGCAAAAATTGGCGATCACGCATTATCTCATCGGTGCCCCGAGGGCAAACACTTTATTATTGCATGCAATAACGGAGAACGCGTGTTATTGCACGAGTTGTGGCGAACTGTCGGGTGGCCCGACGTATCCGCGCGTAGAGCCTTAATGATTTCTGCAACATTTTAAACTGTTGTGTTTGAGAAACTATCACGGTAGTACAGCATTTTTAGTATGTTAACAAATACTGCAAAAGTAATTATGAAAATAATTTAATGGAAAAGAAACAGCGTTTAGTTGCGCAATGTTATTGGAGAGAGAATTGTTTTCTATAATAGAAACTTAAATGTAGCGAGATGACCATTTAATATCAAGAGCGAGGTATTATTGAAAAGAAAAAGGATAAAACTCACAATCTTTGAAAAAAAAAATATCTTTACTCATATTACACTTTTACAAATCTTAATTTTAATAATATTGCAATTAAATATGCTTAATTTTGTGTTTTAATTGATGCATACATTTGAAAGAATTTTTTATTGGTTGCTTCACTATGCTGCTGCCATTATACGCAATATTACATTTGTTTCTTTACATTTACATCATGACATATCATTTGGTTTGCACAATATAAAATTCGTATATACAATATAAAATAATATTATAAAACTAAATAAAAATGTAATTACTTGTGAATTAAAAAAATTAGTTCTTTAAATTATTAATTAAGATATTTGAAATGAGAGAAATTGTGCATGTGCAAATAGGACAATGCGGTAATGGTATAGGACGAGCGGTTAGAACCATGTTAACTTATTCTTTACATTTAAATTACATTTTGTATTGTTATATTAATATTGAATAGTTGAAATAAAATATGCATGTTTAAATATGAATGTTTTTCAATTCTTAGTTTTGGGAAGAAATTTTATACGATCATGGATTGATCCAAAATGGCAAAGTCAAAATGACGAGAGAGGAATTTAATCTTCGATCACAACGTACTAACGTGTACTTTGTGGAAAGTAAAAGTATAAATCATTAATAGACTACACAATCATGCCTTATACACAATATTTTTTCTGGTTAAATACGTTTCAAGTTGTTAATCTTTTCTTCACAATAAACTGCGCAACGACATATAGTTTTATTTGTTACAATTAAAGGAGATTGTCACAAAATGATACAATGATTATTTTGTCAGACAGAATCATTGACAATCGCCTTTTTTTCTAGTTAACAAATATGTGCCCAGAGCTATTCTGGTTGATCTCGATTATAGAGGCATTCAGGAAGCGTTATCCCCGCTGCACAGCCATCTATTCAATAAAGACAACATTATTGTCGGCAAAACCGGGGCTAATGGCATTTGGGCCAAGGCTTATTACACGAAAGAAGCCGAAATCGAAGAAAAGATCTTAGAGCGGGTGCGAAAAGAAGCTGAGTTTTGCGACTTGATCCAAGGTTAAAAATCCAAAAATCTTTCTAAATAATCTGGAATTATTTTAATGATTGAGAGTTAACGTTTATTCATTACAGCGACGAAGCGACTCTTTGTCGTATTAAACACATCAAGTTATTTAAAAAAATAGATAGATTACTGACTTATTTACTGATTTATTAATTATTACTATTTGCAAATTGTTATTATTATATTAAAAATTTTTAATCAATTTTATGTATTATTTTTATTACTTGAGATGAGACTTTTGATAGAATCAATTCTAAAATGATTAATTATTATCAACAAAGGTATACAGATCGTGCATGCTCTGAGCGGCGGCACTGGATCTGGCTTGAGCAGTTTACTCGTCCCATCCTTGATGGAGGAATATTCCAATAAAGTCCTGAAATCTTACAGTGTGATGCCAACCATGAACAGATTGATCAATAATAATATAGCAATAATCAACACGGTATTAACGATTCCTTATCTGATCGATTATATCCATGAAACATTTTGCATGGATAACGAAACTCTTTCTCGTTCCCTGTATCTTCCGCCAATGACAAACAAATTTTATAACGATCAAAATCGATTAATATCATTTGTCATGTCAGACATCACGGCATGCTTGAGGTTTATAACAAAATTTGAATATTTATTTTATCGTTTCAGTTAAAAATAAATTCTTTTTTTTTAAGGAATATAATTGTTACATATTCTTTATTCAGATTTCCAGGTCAGCTGAATACTGATCTCAGAAAACTTTTGGTAAACATGGTACCGTTTCCACGATTGCACTTCTTAGTGCCTGGACATGTACCGCAAATGACATCAAAAAAGTCATCTCGTTCTTTTTATCAAATGCATCATAAAATGCAAATTAAGGAACTACTACAACAGATGTTTGATTCTAAAAGCATGTTTTTAGATTGTAATTCTAAAACAGGACGATTCCTTACTGCTGCCGCTATCTTCAGAGGTAGTGAAATATCTCCGACGGTAGGTGTTATCAATAATATAGAATAATAAAGTAAATGACTTTTTTCTTAATTTCTTTAAATTGGAATCTCAATTGTAAGATCATAAACTTTGATTCAATAGCATCAAAAAGCTTCAGATTAATTATCACCAAAAAGAATATTGTTTACGCACCACCACCACTCTTGCTCTTATTGGCCGCGTATTGTTTTAATTTACAAGAATTAATATTCATTAAAATTCATGAATTTTATTCAATAATTTATGAAAAATTATTAATAAAAATATAAAAATGTTTAATAAATAATATAAATGTCTTTTTTCAAATAATTCTTTTAATTTAGCTTGTAGATGAGAAAATGCTGAACATACAAAATAGAGCCAAAATAGAACAAGACAATTCATCTTTTGTCAAGTGGCTTGCAAATAATATTAAAACTGCTATGTGCAACATAGCGCCAATGAGCAAATACCATTTAAAAATGTGCGCTACTTGGTTGTCGAACACAACTGCGATTGTAGAACCGCTTAACCAGCTGTCTAACCACTTTGAATCCATATTTCAAAGAAGGCAAAATCTTCATCATTACATTAGCGAAGGAATGGAAGAGTCTCAATTCTTGGAAGCTTTAGATAATTTGCGTTTTCTAATCTCTGAGTACAAAAAATATCAGAATGCACCGATTGAGACAAATATCGTCGAAACATTGACACCATATTGAGTTTTAATGAAGAATAAATCAAAACTTGATATTTTAAGTAGTACTCTGGTGTTTTGTTTTGAAGATTTCAATATTTGAACTTTGAAGCTTCAAATATCTTTAAAATTGTCAAAAATAACAGCCATAGTTCCGACAATTAATGAACAAAAAAAAAAGAACCTAAGCTTCCGACGGCAGATGAATAATTCTACAGCGATCAACAAAAGTCTCCACACATCAACCTGCAGCAGTGAAACCTGCTCCATATCACACATATACTTCACTTCAAACTAAATATTAAGCAGAAGTTCTGTCAGCGCCACTTAAACAAATGTGTACATTTCAATACTCAGTAGTTCTAGTTAAATTCATTTATTTATAGTTTAATTAACATATATTCTTCAGCAAATACAATCTAATGAAAAGATATAACTGCATTGTTTTATTTTTTCTATTATATAAGATTGATATCTTTGTAACAAATTTGAAACACATTGATTGTATAAATCTCATTAACATAAATCTCATAAACATTATTTAGTGTATAGTAAGTAATTGTCGATACTACCAAATATATGCTTCTAAAATGCAGATATACTAAATACTTTATCTCTTATTTCTAAAATTTATTTCTTTGGATACTATAATATTTTTATATACACACACACATACATATATCAAATTATTGTTTCCTATTGCAAGAAATTTTTTATCCACTATTAATAAAAATAAATTATTTGATACAATATCCCAGTAAGTTAAATGTTAGTAGTATATTATTAGATCAACATATTGTGGCAAATCTGGTATTATCTGTCTATGTTAAACTCGTATCGTAACAAAACTTGAAGATAGATAAATGACAGAAATTGTGCAGAGTATGCTGTTCCGTAAGCATTTAAATGCATTTAAATATGCAGGTGTTCTGTTTCTGTCGCTCATCATGCTCTATTATCAAATCTTGTTAGATTTTTATTGATATTCTACCAATAAAATTTTTAGCACACTTTTGCAAAATTTGTGTTTCCAAAAATTTAACTGTCTGGAATATTGTAAGAAATTAATTTTCATACACACATTAAGACTAAATTTTTTATATATCAGGTGAAAACATTTTTTTAGTATTATTTAGTATTATTTGGGACATTGTGTTTTGTGTTATCATCGTATATTTAAATATATTACACATTTCTTAGGTATTGTTTTCAAATAAATATGAAAATTAACTAACTCAATTGGGCTTTATTCGATTTTAAACATACGATAAAAATCAAAATTTATATCTATACATATGTGTATTGATTAATCATCACATGAGGCATTAATAACTATTTCCATAATAAAAGTAGAATAATATTGAAATTACAATATATATCTTTCCAAAGATGCTATTTTAATAAATTTACAGATCTCTACAAAATACATCATTTACTTAATTTAAAGGTTTCAGATAAGCTGTGTCGAATGTGTCAAGTTCATTTATTAAAAAATTGGCTTTATTTCGTAGATTTTTTGCTTTACCTGCTGCTTTTTCTAATATTCCTAAAGTATTTGCTATAGTTTTAAGTTCGGTGTCCATTTCGGATGTTGCTTCATCCACTAAATGACAAAGACGCGCAAATGTGCTGGAGAGCTCTCTATATAAACATAAAAGATATTATTTTAGAAAAAATATATTTTCAAAAAAAGATATAGCTGTTTTAACAAGTCATAGTAAATGTAAGAATACTTCGATAATTAGTTAGAAAAAGACATCTAAGGAAGAAATATAAGTCCCATTTTAAACAGTTAAATAAAATACTGGTCAGTAATATGCTTACAAACAATTCGCTAAACAATTCGCAGAGACCATTCTTTGTAATATATATATTCTATATAAATATTATAACTTACTGTTGTACTTGGTGACTACTATTTGCAGAAGTAAGATCTACAATTAATCGCAGCTTGTTCGTTGCATGCGCTACGTATTGTCGCTTAAATTCACGTTCCTTCGCATTGTTAGTCCACGTCAGACGTTCATAGAGATATAAAGCACCATATATAGCACCAGTTACTGCAATTAACCTCCAACCTACCGTTTTTAACATCTAAAAGAAAGATTTACATCTGAAATCCTGTTCTTTTCTCATATATGGAAACATAATCATAGGTAATATTATACATACAAAACCAGCAATAATAAGACCACCCATTGTACCCTGGGATGTCACAGATGCAACAGCTATACGAGTAGCTAGAGACCAATCGTCAGATCTTGATGGAAAATTTGGCGTATTTGAAATAAATTTTAGAGAGTCTGTACTATCCGCAGGTGATGCAATACATGGCGGAATCTGTAAGAAATACAATTATTGTTACACTTCTCTTTCTAAAAGATTTAAGAGTTAAAAATCATTTATTAACTACATATCTGACATGAAATTTTCTTCAATAAACTTTGCTTTTAAACTTGATTCTTGATCAAAATTGACTCGATTGTTCGTTATATAAAATATCGAGATTGTCAAAAATAGTGTACACTTCGTAAGAGACACCTTGTATATTGTTTATTCTATTATTTAAATTGCCTTGAATTATGTCAATATTAAATTATGTCTTACATCTTGCGGATAATTAGTAATAGCTAATCTATGGCGCTGTTTTCCTGCAAATCTATTAATTATTGCTGTAAAACCCCAAGAAAAACGAAATTCTAGGTCTTCGTGAAAGTCTGCGCATAAGTTGTCACAGTTTAATCGATACATTATTTGGAATGGCTCTCGTCGTGGTAAAATATTAAGAGACATTTGTCTTTTATTTTCAGGTAATAAGCTTGCCATTCTTTCAGTCATTTCTTGCTGTGATTTTTCCATATTCAATGCTAAAGCGGTACTAAGTCTAGCACGTAAATTTGATCCTAAAATAGAAAATAAATTTTTTTTATTGAGATTATCGAAAAGCATCCTGAATTCGTCATGAAATAAATAAATTACCTAAGCCATTTTCTACGTGTGTATGAAGTTCTCGCTTATACACGTTCAAAACGAGCAAATCAGGATGAAATGGAACATTAAATTCGTCTACTAAAACGGGTAATCGTCGAATTTCATCATTTAAAGCTTTAGAAACTCTTTGCTCCACATCTTCTACTATATGATGAATTTTATCTTTCATTTCTTGAGTTAATAGCATTAATTGTTGTTCTGTGAAATTCAATTTATCATGAACTTCTTTTTTAACATTTAACTGTTCACTTTGCATTTTTTGTATTCGCTGCAACATTTCATCTAACGTTTGACGTATTTCACTGTAACAAATAATAATGATAAATCAATTTTTATATTTTTATAAGTGTAGAAATAAGAAAAACAAAATTTAAAAAAATTATGTAAAATAGTATCTTCTTACGTTGCAATATGTTTACCACGTTGAGAGTGTTGCTCAAATTTAGTCTTTACTGCAGATTTTGAAATACATTCTTCAAATTTTCTTTCAAAATCTTGAAATTCAAAATATCGAGTTTGAAAACCTTCCGCTAACGCACCATCTGTATATTAAAGATTAAATATTAAATTGAAATTAAGAACAATTTCGAAATTGAAGAAAATATAAACAGTAAATAAAATAAAAACACAGGAACACATTACTATGAGCAGGTTGTCCACGTTGTTCTTGCATACGAGCTTGAAGTGTTTCTTTTGCAGAAATAAAAAAGACACGTTCCTCCGCATCCTTCAGGCTGTAAACTTTTAACTCCCTCGATAAAAAATCGATAGCACGTTCTTGATGTTGTGCTCTTACCTACACACATAAAAAATATGTCTACATAAACATATGTGTATAACAATACATGCAATATATGTATAAGCATATAAGCACATGCATATGTGCATGTACAGGATGTTTCCGAACTAGTTGTAGTCAGCAAGATAATTTTACATAAGAAATAAATAAAAAATTTGTTATTATTTTTTAATTTTTATTTAGGTTTTGTTTTCGGAAAAAAATAACTTGAATATACGTGCACTTGACTATGTCTTTACTTAATCGAATTATCACAGTAACAATTCTATTCTCGCGTTTGTATTTATACACATTTATAGATTAAAATCACATTTATAGAATAAAATGATTTATTTTGTAGCGATCTTGTTATTAGTTGTATTGTTTCTCATAAGAATTACCAAAATTAGCTCGTATCCCAATCTGACGGAAATGGTTATATAGCTAAAGACTTTAGATTTATTATCCTAATATCTTTCCTACTAAAGGCGCTGAAGGGGCTGATTGATACATTAAGACTGGACCACTGACCAGAAATCCATTGACTTCGATTCAATACGCTTATAAGAAGAATGAAACAATAAATATTGCTCTTTGTCGGAGCAAGATAGAAGAACAGTTTGACGCCAAAGGGAGTATTTTTTATATTGTGACAGCTTTTGACTGCACTTTAAACTTAATTATCAAGAAAGTAATGAACACAGATATGAAGTTCCAGATGTATTAGTGGTCTGGACACAGAGCATATTAATAAGAAGATTGCTAATTAAGAAGATACAATCGTAAAAGGACCACCCAACCAGGGGTTGTCTAGAGAAAGATGTTTTATAGCACCTGCTGTGGTGCTTGCTAGTTGCAGATAAACTCTTAATTAAACTGTACATATATCCTAAAAGGTGATGTTTTAACGCAAATTTTAAAAAAGTTTGTGCAGATGAGTTGCATTTTTGTCATTTAGTGCGATTTTAAAAATGGAAAAAATAAGGTACATTTTCAGCAGTTGATAGTTCCTATTCTCGGAAAGGCAAAAATGCTGTATAAGCAATAAGAAAGATATGTGTTGGGGAAGATGCTATAGGAAAGCACTGTTTGTGTATACACGTATCGATAATATGCTAAACATCCCCTTCAGAGAAATAATAATTTTCATGATACAAACTTACCTCCTTTTGTTCTGAGACCAGCTAAAGAATAAAAAATGTTACTAAAAAATTTATTTAGATTATGATACTACTATAATAATGTAATTTGCAACACAAATTGTTTTAATTATAAATTGGAAATATATAGAAGAAAAAAAGATAGTTTAAATTATAAGTGTTATTATATTTATCATTCATTAATATTTACACTATGACTGACTTTTTGGAATCACAATAATTATTGAAAATTAGATAAAATGGTTCATTTTATTTAATAATCTTAATTTCAAAAAATTAATCATAGCGTAAATATTAATGAATGACAAATATACCTCAGAACTGAAACTGCTTCAATCTCTTTTGCGTGTAAATATAAAATAATATTTCATATTATGCAGAGTTAAAAAATGAATAAAAGGTACATTTTATTCATTTTTATGCCTTAGAATCTTGTATCATATCATTTGGTAGGCCTAGAACTTTATTGCGATGCATTCAAATCTTATATTTTATAATTCTAGACCATTTCTTTGTTTAAAATATAAAATTTCAATGCATTAAAAAAATGTACATTATAAAGTACATTATAAAGTTTTAACTTAAAAGGTACTATGATATAAAATTCTAAAACATAAAAATAAATAAAATGTACAGTGTATTCATATTTAATATTAAGCAGGGTAAGCAAAGGTACATTTTATTCATTTTTATGCTTTAGAATCTTATATCAACATTCGTTAGGTTAGAATTTTAAAATGTACATTTTCTTTACTGTGATGGATTAAAATCTTATATTTTTAAGAAAGAAATGATCTAGAATTTTAAAATATAAGATTTTGCAATGCATCGCAGTTCTAGGCCTATCAAATAATATAATATAAGATTTTAAGGCACAAAAATGAATAAAATATACATTTTGACATTAATGTAGTACATATAGTGTGCACGTATAATATAATTTTATGTTCTAGTTTACAAAATATACAATTACATATTTTTACAACTTTTCGAGTTATTAATACTCTATAGGTACATACCTGATCATGAAATTCTGGTTCAGAAACGGAAGCATCCCATCGATTATTTAAAATAAATATATTCGGTTTTGATAATCTTGTTGAAACTTTATGAAAGAAATTTTTTTCCTAAAAGAAATGAGACAATAGATATAATTGATTAAGATTTGTTAAATTATGTGCAATCAGTATTAAACTAAGATAGATTATAAAAATTAAAAAAAACATTCTCTGGAAAATTAGAAAGTTAAGAGAATAGTGCGTTAAATATTATTAAATAGAAATAATAAATTATTAAATATTATAAAGTAATATATAAGATGATAGATTAAACATTTGCTGCATAAATACATAATTTAGAATGTGTATTAAATCTTTATTTCTCTATTTCTTTTCCTAAGATAATTCTTTTTTTCTACATAAAGACGATCTTATATGATAGATTGTATAGTGGACTTTATATTATAAATTAATACTATACTTACTGTAACCATTAATGTAGATTCAGCATTTGCTACTAAAACAAAAACATCTGCATCCAAGCAATGTTTATCTATCCATTCATCAAGATTTGGAGTTACATCCACTCCCGGACTATCGACGAATACTACATCATCTCGCAATAATAAACATTTCTCTTTTGGCCAGAATATTCTTACTAAATGGCTTTCGCATAATTTCTCTTTGCAAAGAGCATGACCTAATTGTCCAACAGATTCCACTGGTTTCTTTATCGTAGACCCTTCGGTAATAAGATATGATTCCCCATTATCTGAACCTTCGACTTGTAGGAAACAATTTGTAGTGTGTCCTATACCACTTGGTAAAATTTTATCACGTAGCATGGCATTAATTACAGTACTTTTCCCATTACTTGTTCTGCAATACACAAATATATAAATGGATTGATATCTAAGATCATTAATATATTATATTTATATAATGTATATATTGTATTTTATTGTTGAGTCTATATTATTATAGACTATTATTCTTTATACACAGTTTTATAATATAACTATCATCTCTCTCAATAAATTTGCTAATTTTTTAAATAATAACTAGTTTATTTCTTTACATTTTTATATGAAATATTTAAATAAAAGATGATATATATATATATATATATATATATATATTATATATATATATATAGT